GAAACAAGATAACAGAGGAGAAGCCTTCCCCAGAAGAGCCAACAAAGGAAGGGGAGGTCTCCTACCTGATTCTTCATTTTGAGGACAATAGCCGCACCCTCTCATAAATCATTACACGTGAGTATCAAACTCTGACCAAGCTGAATAACCAATCCGCCTCCTCAAAGGAAAGAGAGACAGGGAGAGAGGTGGAAGCGTCCTTCCCAGCGTGCCTCTGCAAAAGCAATACTTCCAACAGAGGAAAAAGAACAGAAAACTTCCTTGCTCCATTTCCTAAGTCAGAAATCTGGAAGTCACCTTCTTCTGCAACATTCCCTTCTCCCATAAGAGTCAAATAATCCTCAAGTAGTCCTATCAATTCTATCTCTTGAATGCAACACAACTTGCCCATCCCCACTGATGGTTTCTTCGAATCTCCCCTAGATCAGTGCAGTAGAATCTCCTAAGTGATGTCTTAATCTCTGGCTTCACAACCTTCCATTTCATTCTGTACAATGCCAAAAAACACAAATGCAATGTAATCACATTCTGCTGACACTTAAAACTCTCCACATGCTCCCAGTCATTTGAATAACATCCAAATACTTGTTGGTATTGAATTTATTGCAAATATTTGCTGTCATGTCTTCCTATTCTACAAAATTTGGGGTTCATTTATTGCAGGGACTTTTCCTAATTTATTTGTGTATTGCCAATGCCTAGTAATGCATCTCAGTGTTCAAAAATATATTTTGACCTGTACAAAACCCTTCTACATCTGGCCCTTCCCATTTCTCCAACTCTGGGTCCTGTCTGCCACAGCCACATTGACCCCTGCGTAATTCTCATGCAAGCTCTAATTCCAGAGATACCTAACTATTTGCAGGTGCCTGAGTATTATCTTCTCTTTCCTCACATTTGTACCCTGTCTTTGCCCCCTTCTCTTTGTTCTTCTTTCCTACTTTGATATTATTTCCTACATATTACCTATACTCCCAACTATCAGCTCATACCCGCCTTTCTCCAAATAGCCTTTCCTAATCTTCATTCTTCCTTCTCATCAGACCACTGAGCCCAGACTGAGTAGATGACTCTTCCAATATGCATAGCACTAACCCTGCATTTATCAAACTGCTTCATAATAGTGGTTCACTTTCTTCTTTCCACATAAATGCCAAGTTCCTTAATGGTTCACAGGTCTTCATCTCTGGAAGTAGGACTGAATGACACATACACAGTAAATGACGAAAGAACAAAAGAACAAAAGAAAGGAAGGAATCAGAGGGGGGGAGAAAAAGCAAGCTCGATATTCTACATAATGAGTTTTTCAACAGAACATTCATTAAGAAATGTCCAATAGATCCACAGGGTGGAGTGGACAGAAGGTTGAGCATCTACTCCTCTGTCTTCCTAATTACTGTTTTACTAGACATTCAGAAACAATTCAGTAACTAGAGGGTTCATTCTAAGTTGCATTTTAAGTTGTAAGAAAGAGTAAAAACAAACCTTTTAAGGAAAGCCATGTTTTATTAAATACTTAACTTTCTTCATTTTGGCTTAAGGCCTGTGGAATTAGGCAAGTCAGAAAACGTCTACTGCCCAATTAAAAGGTGCAACTATAAAAAGTTAAGTAAGGTCAAATTCAACTACATTTATTAAGTATTTGACAATTCCCTATACCACTGAAAAAGTATCACATCCCTTCAGTACATTGTCTGGTTGCTGCCTCCTCTCTGGGCAACTGCATTTCATAATCATGGTCACAATCATGAAAGACAACATTCCAAAAATTAAACTATAGTCTATTTTTTCTCTGATGAAAGTCAAGGTTCCTTCAAAAAATTCTTATAGGAAAAAACAAGAACACACGAAATACTTCAAAAAAATCACTGTAGTTAAATAAGGTAAAGCTGGAGGAAGAGTTTATGGTCATACCATATTATCTCTTAAGACCAATTTAGAGTGCTAGATGATAAATAAGTTTTAAGAAAACAAGAAGCTTTGTTCTGCAATGTTCAGCTGTTAGCACTTTTGCTTCTTTGGAGAAGAAAGCAGAACAAAGACAATTAAAGTTCCTCCCAGTGATAGCAAATATGTAACTGCTGACACTTCCACTCAGCATCTTGTCTGTTTTCATTTTCCTGACAAACCTATTTGAGGAGGGTTCTTCATTCAGTCAATAAATGTTTATTGTGTGCCTATTATATGAACACAATGGTTAATGAAATGCATTCCTTGCCCTGAAGCTTTAGCAGGTAAATTAAAGAAACCAAAGACAAAATCAAGGTGTGATAAGAGCTAAATTGAAGAGGCAGGTGGAGAGATAAAATAATCTAATCTGGGGAAGGGGGTTTTAGTAAGGACTTCCCCGTGAAGGTCATTGCTAAACTGAGTTAATCAAGCAAAGGAGGGTGGTGGAGCCATGAGGAAAAGAAATCAGAGGACAGAGAGATTTTCCTATCTGAGGGAACAGCATCTGCAAAAGAAAGGAAAAGCATATTTTGAAGAGGTTTACAAACATATCAATTCTCTTGTAATACTGTGATAGACGAAGAGATATGAGAGGAGTCTGAAAAGATAAACAGGATTATGAAAATTCTGATAGGGCAAGTAAAGGAGTTGGATTTTATCCTAAGGACTGTGGGTTACACTGAAAAGTTTTCATCATGTAGTTTGGATTTTAGAAAGACCATATAGGCTATTAGTGTAGAAAAAGACAAGACTTGAGATGGTTTGGAGATTGTTCTGATAACCTAGGTAAGAGGCAGTGATGGCCTAACTCAAGAAAGCAGTAATGATGTGGAAAGACCTGGATAAATTGGAATGATATCAAGGAGAAAAAAGCTGTAACAGGACTTGATATGTAGGTGTGGGAATTTAAAAAGGAAGAAATTGCCCTCCAGGTTCCTTATACCCTGTCTCTTTTTTTTTTTTTCTACATGATCTATGGAACCTAAGCACTAATGGTGGTCACACATCCTATGAAGTCACCCAAGGCAGCTGTGTGGGCTACATCTAGTTATTTCTATTGATGGGCTAAGAATACTGGTAGAAGAAACAAAATTTTTTATCCAATTCGCAGGTATCTTTTCATTGGTTTAGGAAAATGGAATGTTCAACACTACACCTAGGAAGCTGAATGAAAAATATCTGAAAAGATAAGAATACTAATAACTGAGGGGCACCTGGGTGGCTCAGTAGGTTGGGTGGCTGACTCTTGATTTTGGCTCAGGTCATAATCTCAGGGTCCTGGGATCAAGGCCTGAGTCGGGCTCCTCGATGGCAGGGAGGCCCCTAGAGGATTCTCTCTCCATCTCCCTCTGCCCCTCCCTGCCCCCCAGGCCCATGAGTGTGTGCTCTCTCTCTCAAAATACATAAATAAATCTTAAAAAAAAAAAAACCTGAGATTTGCGATTATTATTCCCCATATAAGTTACTAATAGTTTATAAGCCAGCCATACATGCCTCAGTGAATCTGATGTGATGTGTTTCTGAATTTAGTGTTGCTATTTCTGCTCAAAACAAAAAGTTTCTATAATTATTATTTCATATATAAGTTCTTTGGACCTATAATTCAGACAAACTTCAAGGCTAATCATAAGCCTTTAGGGTTTTTTCCTCCAAAATCTGAGAATAAATTTAAATTTTTCTCACATTTGCATGAAATCTATATGGAAAGTATGGTTCCCTACTAAGAGACTTCTCGCCCAAAGATAAATGCAAGCAAATTTCAAAATGTCCCAAGCATTATCCAGTCTCCTTTTTATTACATCAACTATGAAACAAACAACAACAAAAAACATAGGAAAAAAGTACTTTGTGCCTTGAGCAAACAAAGAGGAATAACACTGAAAATCTAAACATACCACCTTTATTAGGCTAAGTGAAATGAGTCGGAGAAAAACAAATACATGATTTTACTTATGTGGAATCTAAAAAACAACACAAAAGAACAAACAAATCAGAAACAGTCATAAGTACAGAGAACCATGATGGTTGCCAGAGGGGAGGGATTGGGAGGTGGGCAAAATAGCTGAAAGAGATTAAGAAGCACAAACTTCCAGCTACGAAAGAAATAAGTCACAGGGATGTAAAGTACAGCATAGGAAATATAGTCAACAATATTGTAATACCTTTGCATGATGACAGAGGGTAACTAGACTTACCTTGGTGAGCACTGCATAATGTACGGGACTGTTGAATCACTATGTTGTATACTTACCACTAACATTATATTGTATACCAACTATGTTTCAATTTCAAATAAATTAATTTTTAAAAATATAAACAAAATCAAAAATAAAACAAACATACCACCCTGATAGTCTCCTTTAAGGAAATAAAAGTAACACAGACTTCTGATAAGGTATAAATGCCATGGGGTACTAAAAATATCAGTTACATAACAAGAAGGGAGAAGAGACAAAGGGAGTTGTTCATAAAGAAAAATCTTCCCCCAGCCCCACATAACAAACTAACCTGCATAATACTCAACGAACTTTATTTTCATACGGCCCTTTCTCTGAATGATCAAAAGTACTAATCCAGTAAATGCGTGTTAACAGGTTTGAGTCTGGGAGAAACAATATTCTACATTACAACCCTTGGCTATAGCCTGGCAAATAGATGAGCAAACCAGAAAACTCTCCAACCATTACATCAGAACTGTACAATAAACACCAGGAGGATTTTAAGTTTCTCTGACCAGTATTCATTGGATCACATCCCTAAAGAAAGAAACTGGCTTAAATTTTTGAGGTAAAACTGTGTTAAAACAAAACGCTATTTTTAGAGCGGCTAGAAATTAAACACCTACCTTGACCTAGCCCCTACCTTGTTAGAATATTAAGGGCCCTTGTGAATGTGACCTTATGTGGAAAAAGCATCTTCGCAAATGTGACTAAGTGAAAGATCTTGAGAAGGGAAGATGTTCCTGGGTTAGCAGGGCAGGTCCCAACTGCAATCACAAACGTCTTTGTAGAGAAAGGCGGCAAGAGATTTGACACAGAAGAGGGGAAGGTGAAGTGGCCCCAGAGGCAGAGGAAGCGGGGAGGAGGCCACGAGCCAAGGAACCCCTGCGTCTCCTCTCGAGACGCTGGAAGAGGCAAGAACAGCGGCTCCCCTAGCGCCTGCAAAGGGAGCCCGCCCTGCCGACATCTTGCTTCCAGCCCAGTGATCCCGACTTGGGACCTCCGACCTGCAGAACTGAGAGAATGCATTTCTCCTGTTTGAAGCCATCGAGTCTGGGAGGCCTTATTACAGCAGCCACGGGAAGGTCCCACAGAGGCCGTGGGTTATGTAGAGCCGGGAGGGACACAAGCCTCATCGCTCGCTCTGCCGCTCGCAGGTCTCCGACGCCACGCGCATGCGCCCTGGGCGCCTAACCTCATTAAGGAAGCTGAGCTTTTACGGCTTTCGCTGAAGACAGTTCCCTGGGCGCCCTCAGGTCAGAGGAAACCGAAACTTCCCTCCGCAGAGGCACACGGAACTGCTGCCCCCGGCTCTGGAGCGGAGTCAGCGGTGGGTAAGAGACTGCATCCCTGTCGGGACAATTAACGGCTGCCAGTCGCAGCTGAAACCATTCTGGGAGCACGTCCGTGCGGATGACTCACGGGTTAGGAGAAATCAGACAGCCAAGTGTGGAGCGATGGGAAGGCTTCCAGAGAGGATACGCTCCGCTTCTCAGGCCCGGGGTTCAGAAGCACCGTGACTTCGGGCAAGTTGCTAACCTACTTCGCAACAGTGTCGTGGGGCAGCTTTGCAATTAATTTGTATATGCCCTTTGGCCCACAGAAAATCCTTTCAGCCTGTGAGATTTGTAGCTCCCAGAGCTACTGATTTGCATACCCAGGAAACAAGCATCTGCCTGCGGTAAGTACAAAGGCGGAGTCCTCTTAAAAACACATATTCCCTGCAAGGTCCAAATAAAATGAAAGACAGGAAGAGGGAGACTTAACATTCGCTTTGGTCCCACCGACTAAACCCTATTTGACATATTCTGATTCTGTTTAGCAAACAGATACGGGTAAACATTTATGTCCTTGGACTCTGAGGCGGTTGGCAAATTGCGTTCAGATGCTTTCGGATCTTCAGGAAAAGGGCACTGTAGAAATCCAGGGAACTATTATGTGAGAGAGACAGAGCCTTTATCTCCTGGTCTTAATAAAGAACTAAGCATAAGGCCTCTCAGACTTCTAGTTCAGACACCAAATTGACCCCTCTGGGAGCTGGGAAAGTCTCAATCTCCTTCCTGCCTTATATGGCAGTGGTAATAAAAGAGCATACACCGAGGATTAACTAAAGTTCACATACTGCCTTGAAGAGAAAAGTCTTGATTTAAGTGCTGAAAATTTATATTAGTGGGAGGGGAAAGACTGGAGAATGGCAAAAGGGATGGAAAGTTACAGAAAGTTATAATGAGAAATATAAATTGAAGCAGGTCTAAGAGAAAGATGAGAGATCAGATGCAAGAAGGTGGGGGGTAGGAAAAGTGGCCAAAAAAGAAAGACTTTTCCTCCATCTGTGTTGGCTTAGGCATGTTCTACAAGTCCTAAAGGGAAGTATATCCTTTAGCAACAAAAGAATAATGATTCCAAGTGGAGAAAAGGCAGCAGGAGAATACGAGGGCGTGACAGAAGAAAGAAAGAGGGCAAAGAACAAAAAGGTTAAGAGAGGGTAAGGGACATAATAAGACAATAGAGAATGAAATTCATAGCATCTATAACAGGATCTAGGAGAAGAGCCCTTTCGTCCCCAATACATTTTAAGGGCAAGAATTGTTGCCCTGATTTTATGAAGTCAGAGCTTGTCCATGCTGTCACCCTCCTGCTTCAAAAGTGATTTGACCAAACCAAATGGAGATATGGTCTAGCCTCTTGGCATATGGCAAAAAGAAACATTTGACTCACATTAGGAACTCCTAACATAAAATACACTGACCACCCAAAAGCAGTATTTGCACACACACACACACACACACACACACACACAATTTGGCAGAATTCCGTTAAAAAGTTGAATACAATTAAATTGGTTTCCAGGCTTCTATAATCAAGCAAATGGTTAGGTTTTTTGTTTATCTGTGTGTTTGTTTTTTAATCTAAATTGTCTAAGCTTTACACAGATGTAGCTGACAATAGAGCCTACAAAAGGTAACATTTTTAAATTCACCTAAATTGTAAGAGGCAAAGGTATTACATACCTTATTTTGTCTTTGTGCTAGACAATTCCAAAACCCATCTCATGGTTTTGTAAAAACCTTGGCCAAAATCCATCAGATAATAGTTACATCTCTCTTTGTGATGGGAGGCATAATGGGGAGCAGAGAGGGAAGGTGACAAAATTGTACTGTTCCACAGACCAAAGGAAAGACAAAATGTCCCCCACTCCTGTATGAGCAGATCTCAGATTACATATCCGCTCTGCCATGCTCTGATTTTTCAGGAGTACTCAGTTCTTTTACCCTGTCCCAAATGGATGATTGAACTGTATCATCTGTATAGCATTTTAAGATATAATGATCTTATTTTTCCAGCAGCATCATTCATTTATTGGACAAAAGAATTGGGTAGGATCCAGTTAAGGAATAGAAAGCAGGCCAGTTATTTCAACAAAAGGAATTTATACAAATAATGATCAATTAGGTATTACAAAACGAAAAACGTGGAGGCATCACAGGTAGTTAAGCTGTCCTCTAGGCCTGGAAAATGAGGGGAGATGTTAGGAATGTTAAACTGCGTTGAGCCGCATGGTCAAACATGGTAGCCACCAGCCACATTTGGTTTTGAGCAACTTAAAATGCCCCTGGTCCAAATTGAGGTGCACCAAAAGTATAAAATACACACCAGATTTCAAAGACTAAGAATGAAAAAAGGAAGGTAAAATATCCCATTAATAATTTTTGTATTGATTATGTGTTGAGATGACAATATTTAGGGGTACACTGACTTAAGTAACATGTTTATTTTACTTTTTTTTTTTTTGCTTTTTTGATGTAACCACTTGAACTTAAAATTTTATAAGCGACTTGCATTTTCTTTCTATTGGATGGTGCTGGCTGACAGGTCTAGAACAAGGACCCCGTAAAGCTGGGACTCAGTCTTTTGAGAAGGGTACTGCAGGACGATATTGGTATATCTGAGAGAAGATGCTGGGCCTGGTTCAGGCTGTGTGAAATCTGTAAACTGGAGCCAATTGTCATGAATCAACCGTCCCCGCCAAAGCAATGCTACTGCAGTGCTGCTGACAGGAGCACCAGAAAAACAAGGAGGAAGAGGTAGGTCTTTTCCTTCCCCACTCCTTGCAATTTTCCTCCATTGCTCCCAGTTGGCAGAGCCTAAGGCATAACTGGCAGACCCAACTCTAAGGGAGAAATGTGATTTGCAGGGTCCCAGCCCCAGCTGGACAAAGCAGAATATGGAAAGATGAGTTTGATGTTGAGAGGTGAGTAGCTTCATCACCAGCACAACGAAGAGTCATTGTCTGTCAGGCATGGTTTTAGATATCAGGGGCACAAGCATGAACCAAAGTCCCTGTCCTCATACAGCTTGCATTCTAGTGAGACAAGACAGACAATAAACAAATACATAAACAAGATGATTTCAGAGAGTAATAAGGGTTATGAAATTAAGAACACAAGGTCATAAATAAGAAGGTGACAAGATGAGAGGTTGAGGTTAGGTACTGCTTTTGATAATGAGGTCAGGTAATTTGAACTAAGATCTGGAAGGATGGAGAGGGGAGGAGAAGGAAGAGGAAGCATTCCAAGGCAGAAGGAATAAAACATGGAAAATCTCTGATAAGAGAATGGTCTGGGATCATAGCTGACACATAATCGTCAGGAGGAAAGATGACAAGAGATGATTGGGACTGGTTACGCAGGGTCCCTGCAAATCATGGTAAGTAATATGGATTTGAACTTAATTACTATGGAACCACTGTAGGATTTTAAGCCGGAGATGGTATGATTTGATTTACATTTGTAAAAGGTCATTCTGGCTGTTGTGCAGAGGAATAGACTCTAGGGGGACAAGCATATGAGGGAGACCAGGAGGCTACTACAGCAGTAGGGTAAAAGATGAGGATGCCTGGGATTGTGGTTGAAACAGTGGAGATGGTGAGAAGTGACTGTATTCAAGATAAGAGCTGCAGGATGAGCCAACAGTACCCATTAAGATTAGGATGCTTCATGTAATTCATTTGAGTAAATTTTCCAAATATCTAGCACACTCTCAACACCAAAATTGTTTTAAAATATTCTTGTTATTTTTCATGGAAATAATTGAAAATTATACAAAACATTCCTTGATCTTCTATGGAAAATCCCAACCAAATTTATGAACTGCTATTTTGACTCAGGGTCCTATTCTCCATTTTTGTATGCCATCTGACACATTCTCTGTCAATTTCTTGAGTTCTTCAACTCCAATTACTTTCACTCCATATGTTAAAGCTCTGCTTATTTTGAGGCAAATCTTAATTAGGATGAAAAGGGTGATTTTCCAGATAATCTAATCCAGGCATTGACTATGCCGTTTAGGTGGAAGCCGCACCTGCCAGGCTCAGGTCAGCATCTGCTGTCCCAGCCTGTCCATAAAGCCTGTGCTTACCAAGGCCCACATCTAACCAAAATTATCCTTGCTTCTGAGACATCAGCCATATTTAGCCACTGTGATTCACCAAGGTCAAAATCAACATGATCCCTACTTACCAAAGCCAAATAACCAGTCATTTAGAAAATCTTATCTCCATATTATTTTGAGTCCCAATTTCTAGCCCTTGTCTATTTTTCAGTGTTCCTAGCCAACCTGTAAAGATGTTGCAGTTTTAAGGGTTCAATAAAATGATCTTCCTTTCTTCCTTTCCCAAGTGCTGAATGGGATTCTGAACTAGAAATCAAATTATCATTTACTGATGGATCTAAACTAGAGACCGTGGCTTGGATTTAAGGCCAAATGGCTTTCCTTTTTTATTTTTATTTTTTTAAAGATTTTATTTATTTGAAGGAAAGAGGGTGAGTGAGAGAGAGAGAGCATAAGCGGGGGGTGGGTGGAGAGAGGCAGAGGGAGAAGCTGACTCCCTGCTGAGCAGGAAGCGGGGCTCGATCCCAGGACCCTGGGATCATGAACTGAGCCAAAGGCAGACGCTTAACCAAATGAGCCACCCAGGTGCCCCCCAAATGGCTTTCCTAATATATCTTTTTGAACTACACTGAACCCACCAAACTACAAACCTACCACCTCCACTGGAATGGTGAAGGTGCAATCAGATTAGAGTGGGATGAAGAACAAGCAGAAGGCAAAGAAGCAGAGATAGAAAATAAGACTTGATTGTTCACAAAGTTGGGCTCTGAAGACAAATGAAGAATGACACAATAGCTGAAGGAGATGTCAAATCCATGGAAGGTTAGGTTTTAAGATGGAAAGTAATGGGACATGTTTACATGTGTGTGGAAATAATGAAGGAAAAGGGGAGAGATTGAGGATGTAGGAAAGTGGATGTGTATCAGTAAAGGTGACTGGGAGTCAGTGGATAGGATTCGAAGCCTCAGTGGAAATACAGGCCGCCATAGTAACAGGTGGGAACATAACAGAGTTGGGGGTAAAGGAACTTAGGTTTCTCGATTTAGTTGTGGGCAGATGGAGTTTTCATTCTATGTTTTCTATTTTCTGAATGAAAAATGAAGTGAAGTATTCAGCTAAGAATGAGAGGGTGGGAGGTGTGAAAAGAGAGAACACTTGAAATTAAAATCTTGCTGGGAAGCAAAGTTACTGAGGAAAAAATTTCTTAGTACTACTGAAGGTCCATTTGAGATGCGTTAATTTAACGCGAAAGCAGTCAGCCCAGTCATGTCACTTTCTCTAGCAATATGCAGATACTCAAGGATATCCAGGGAAAAGCTAGGTATTTGGTTTCAAGTCAATAGGGATTATCGCTGGCTCAAGATGGAGGAGAAATAGAGGGCCAAAGGAATTGAGGGCATTTGCAAGAGCATGATTATATTAATTTATTCAATAATAATCCTCGAACGCCCAATATATGTCAAGAACTAGTCAAAAAGTCCCGGCTAAATGATAGGGAGATGTAGGTGCAGGCCACTATCTAGGGATTCCACCAGAGCTAGGTGCAGATTTTCTATTTAACTCATCCTTCTTTTTTCTTCTCTTGTCATCCTTCTTGGAAAAAACAAAAAACAAAAAAAAATTGGTGACAGATATTTAATATTTACCATGTGTCAGGTACTACGCTAGGCCTTTTTTTAAAAACATGATCTTACTGCTCCTTATGTGAATGCTATGAGGAAGTTACTATTATTAGCCCTACTTGCAGATGAGGAAAAAGAATATGAAGATATTGAGCAACCTCAAAATATCACCTTCAAAACTACTGGCTTTAGAGCCCCTTGCTTCTACAGGTTAAGTCTTTGTCACTTGGGGAAAAAAATAAAGCATTTTCAATTAAAATATTTTAAATTTCCCATTTCCACTTCAATGCATAAGCAACCAGTTTTTTATTTGAAGATTCTTTGGAAGAAGAGCTTTAAACTCTTCTATAAACTTGAGTGAAATTATTATTTCAAATTATTTAATTTTGTAAATTGAACAGTCTTGACTATGCAAGTAATTATTTTAAAACTCTGCAAACAGGTAAACAGCTATTCTGTTCTTCCTTCCCAAACTCTCTTGCGGGTGACACACGCTTAAGAAAATACTTAATGCTTTACCTAACATTTTCTGTTTAAGAGAAATAATCTGAATTTCTAAATTTGGGCCTGGAGAATAAACAGAAGTTTCCCTCCTTAACTCGTCTTCCTTCCTTGCTTGCTAATCAAACTAAGATAATTGTTCTACCCTAGAAAATGTCCAATGACTAACAGATACTATTGTGTTGGGTTTTTTTTCCTATGAGAGAAACTTAAAGAGGCAGCCCATCCTATTCATCAAAAATCACAAAATTAGCAAGGAATGAGAGAACTCAGGCTTTAAAGCAAGGGTTGTACAGAGGTGAAGGTCATTCACATTCTTAATGTGGAAAATTTGGGAAATTGGGAGTGTTTCATTGTTCCCTTGTTATCTAGAAAAACATTCATTTTCTAAAGCTGAATCATGTAAAAAGTCCCTTCGACTATACTTATATTTTTCAAGACTATGTTATATTTGAATAAATTCAACTATCACTATCTGGAAAGACAAATCCAGGTCAGGCAAACATAAAAAATGAACCATGCTTCCTGAGCAGTAAAACAGATTGGTCGTGCATGACATTTAGCCAGATTTGGTAATAGCTATCAATTGTTTAGAATTTACTACATTCTAAACCAGAGATTCTCATTCTTGGTTATGCATTAGAGTCACTGGAGACATATTTTTTTTTTTTTTAAGATTTTATTTATTTATTTGACAGAGACAGAGACAGTGAGAGCAGGAACACAAGCAGGGGGAGTGGGAGAGGGAGAAGCAGGCTTCCTGCTGAGCCGGGAGCCCGATGCAGGACTCGATCCCAGGACCCTGGGATCATGACCTGAGCCGAAGGCAGTCGCTTAACCAACTGAGCCACCCAGGCGCCCCTGGAGACATATTTTTTAAACTTTTTATTTTGAATTAATTGTTGACTTACGGAAAAGTTGCAAAAATAATACAGAGAGTTCTCATAGGTCCCTCACCTGCTTCCTATAACATTAACCCCTTACATGACCATTATACAATTATCAGAACCAAGAAACTAACATTAATGATACAATATTATTAAATAAATTATAGGTCCTATTAGAATTTTACCAGTTGTTCCACTAATTTCCTTTTTTGATTCAGGACTGCATTGAACTGGTATTTCTTCTTAGCCTTGTCCAATCTGTGATTTTTCCTCAGCCTTTTCTTGTCTTTCATAGCCTTGATCTTTTGAAGAGTACTAATCCATTATTTTGGAGTTAATTTGGGTTTGTCTGATGTTTTTCTCATGATCAGAACAAAGTGATGCATTTTTGTAAGAATACCACAGAAGTGATACACCTTTCCTTCTCAATGCATCATATCAAGGAGTTCATAATGTTGATGTATTATTTTTGGCAATACTACCTTTGATAACTTGGTTAGTCATATCTAACGGGTTTCTCCACTGTAAAGTTGTTATCTTTCCTTCAGGAGTTAATAAATATCTTGATACTTTGAAACCACACAAATCCTGTTTCTTATCAAACATTTACCCACTATTTTGACATCCATCACTAGATCTGATCTACAACAATTATTGCTGTGGTCTCTGTCCAGAAATGAGTTT